GCATATCATGTAGAGTTTATTACCTGCAGGTCTTCGTGAAAAATTGCAGTGTTTTGTTTTGTAGCACCCGATGGACTTTGAAACGATGCAACACAAAATCGAGTCACGGGATTACACGAATAAATGCCAGTTCATTGATGATATGAACCTTGTTTTTCTGAACTGTCTTCAGTACAACGGCCTGAAAAGTGGTGAGGAACTTTACCCAGAGTTGTCATTAATAATTGACATGCCTTTTCACATAATTTTGCTTTCTTTACAACCGGTCTCTGCCAGATTTTATTATTTTCTTTTATTTCAATAAATAATTGACGCGAAGTTTAATTTGTTTGTTGGTAATTTGTTTAAAGAAAAGTACGGTTAGATGCGCGGAAAAAACATGCAATAAGTGAAGCTTGTGGACACCAACGGTATTCCATGCTCTTCAGCACAAGTTAATAATGAGAAGAGAAGGTGTCGTAGTGACAGGAAAGATCAGCAAGTGAATGTTTAAACCATTGTAACAATGAAATATAATATAAGCAAGAAAAAACTGAAAGCATATAAAAGACATAAGAAACGAAATAGAAGGAAAACACCACGGCCTAGATCAACAATGCCAAAGCATTGTCGGCTATGATCCTAATAAATTATCATCTTCTCCAGTTAACAGAATGCAACAGTATTCAAAGGATATATTCAAGTGATAGTTATATAGTTATATCCTAAATAATTTCTGAGTATATTTATAACGGTAACTTTATTGCGCCAAGGTATCGGTTAGAAAATTACTCAGAGCTAACTTCCGCATTCCAGCATCTGGACATATACGATCTTGCCTATGCTATTACCTTTGAAAGTACGGGTTCGTACGCCTGTTTTTGTATTCACAGAAGAATGATTCATCAGCGGCTAGATTTCATGACATATCCAACTGTCTTTTGCGATACTAGCGTCTGATGTATCATTCATTAATAGCAGAAAACTGCATTAACGAGATGCACCTAACGCTGCAGATCCTGAAATATGATGGATATCTGTCATGTTCAGATTTCTCCTACACAGCTGGGACCAATGGCATAGTGCGTTATTTCGTGAAATTTGGTCTTGGAGTCATTTCCTTAATCTCTTAAGACGAAGGAAGTGTGTTATTGCTCTTGTACAAAAGATTGATCACGGGAGGTGTGCGTTGGGGTAAGAGACTAGTTGTTGACCTAAGGCAGAATAAGCCACTGTCGAAAGTCTTCAAGCGTGATCTTCAGAAACGGGGTTATAAATGTAGCGCTAACTACGGTTTTTTTCCCACTGCGGTAGTTGGCCGTGCTGACTGGATTATGCGGGGTTCAACTCGATACAACCGATAAGAAATTTCTTGTCTGCTTCAAAATAATAACAACGTGGTATTAAATGTAGCTAAACGGAAATTGAAGATGAAGTAGAAGTTGTGATATCAGATGACATGTTTTGACGCTTTTCAAATGAAGAAGATTTATTTTATTGGTAACCGGCAGCTTTTTTTGTTGCTCTCATCGTTTTCTGGGATATCAGGATCTAGAACGGGGTATCCAGATTATGATGTTCAATGTTACCTGGCAATTTTTAAAATATGTTATGAAGTGGGTATAAGTAGAAAATTCAAACTCTCTGATTTTATGTTTCTTATTCGAACGGTCGGAAGCCGTCATGGATAAGGCGGACGACTTCCATTGCTAGTTTAATGAAAATTTTATGGAATGATGCATGCAAGGTAGCTGATCTCGAGCTCACCTTGTTTTTTAGATTCAGTTATTGTTGTTCTGATACCTGTATTGTTTACTTCACCTGCACAGGTGCATTTCGTTTAATTTTTCTTGATGTCTTTTCGTTTTTCGATACTCAAGAATACACGAAACTTGCGCAAAGGCTCGAACGAGTGTTCCTAAAAGGCTGGAAGAGATATTTTCCACCGTCTGAAATGGTCGATTCCAATGCCCGCATCCAACAAGAACTTTTGGAATGCCTGTCAAGGCTCGGCGCATTAGACCGACAAATCAAGCGAGAACTTCAGGTTAGTTCCCCTCACAAATATTTTTTTCCAGGAAGTTTTCTAGCTTACTTTTCTTTGTATACCGAGGGGGAGGCAAAAGATGTGCATTTCGCGTTTGTGCTCATCGAGTGTAGCTGAATATTTTTAAAATATGGGTTTTAATTTCTGACAAATTCTGTTTGGTTACCAACTTTGCCTCCTGATGACAAGGGTATAGCAGTCAATAGAGGAAAAAGTTCAAAGCCTAGATGAAATGTTTCAAAATCGGAAATATTGTGGTGAGACAATCAAAGACTGGCTTCTAGTTAAAAGCATATAATGAAAGGATTCTAATGATGTCGTACATAAAAACAAAGTATATTACTGAAAGAAACAAAAAATATGAAATACTGTAAGATGATTTGAAACAAAAGGGAGTAAAAGAGAAAAATAAAAGTAAAAGAACAGATTTCATACGTGGGCAGAAGTTAGAGAGTAGAAACTAAATTATTAAACATGATGTTCCATCTAGAGAACGTTTTAAACTTATTAAAATCTCTTTGAATGAAGGTATTCGATGTCTCTGTATTGATTTCATAGTGTCCGTCAGATTGCACGTACTTCTATGACATCTTATACTTCTGTAAGCAGTATGACTTACTCTTGCTTGTTAATCTTTGTTAACGGTGTAGGAGAAATAAGAAAATAAAAGTTTGTAACAGCTAAAATGTCGATCGTCCTTAAACTTTCATGATAGAGCGTTTCTTTTGCCATCTTGTTCTTAAGGTCAATCGTGGGGCGCTCATTTCCATGTTTTTGCGTTCAGCCGGGAGTGCCTTATTTTTAAGGCAAAAAATTATAGCGATATGGCAGGTGTAATATGTTGCTTTCTGTATTCTTCCCACGGAATGCTTCTGATCAACTTCCTACCGAAGAAATACGAACGATTAGAGCAGAGCTTGAACTCGGAACATCTATGACCTGAATCTAGCGGTGTTTACCATGACGGGAGAATTGATGATGCAGTCGAGTAGACAAAATTATATAATTTATTTAGACATCTTGAAAAAGACGCAATAAATAGTATTCTGTCATTTCGTTTTCCGCAAAGAGCAGAACTGCAGTAATTTAGTATATCCTAGTTCTACAGTTTTTAGTATTGTCATTATCATGAGAAGAAGAGCTGCCTCTCATTGAGGGCTTCCATCTATATGTAAACTTAAAATCCTTCATCTTGTATGCATATTTTAAAATAATAGATTTGATCACAGTATTTTTAAATTATGTTATGACCTAAAAAGATCTTACGTGCCATAGTGCGACAAGGATTTCGAAGTAGATGCGGCGAAGCCAGAATTCTCTGTGCAAGTATGAATACATCAAAATTCAGCACTGAGCGTATTTCTGCTCTCTCTGTCGACAACCTGCAGGCAGCAGCTGCATTTTGTATGCTCCTTGGAGTAGACATAGTACTGATCAGTGAAATCAGTGAGCACAGGAACGAAAACCGAACCATGGAGTAAAGTTCTAAATTAAAAGGCGGGTTTTGGCTCAACGTATAGAAAGCCAACAGTCAGTGAAAGTAGCGGACTAAAACCAAGAGTTAAAATGATATCTTGATTCATTCCTGCAAGACAATAAAGAAATTGACATTGAATTAAGAAATCGATCGAAAATATGTGATGCAAATAGAGATAAGCGGTGTATTGTATGATTGTAAGATGTTCATAAAACTGACGGTGAAGTTAGTACAGAAGCATAGTAAGGCCTGTGCTTCCGAACATGAAAGAGCGTTTAGCTTCCCTGAAGAAACAAGAGCAACCGCTCATCTTTGAAGAAATGTAAATGCTCAGGTGTATGTGTAATATTGCTAAAGGGACCAGATCATTCATAAAGGAATAAAAGGAATACCTCAATAAGAGACAGATGAAAGACACTAGGTGCATAGCCATTTACAGAGAACATATTGAAACCAGGATTCGCAGTATGAAAAGAAGAACCGGCGTGTCCGCAAAATATGTGGCCGAATCGCTGATCTTGGCCGAGAAGAAAATGATCAAGGTAAACGTGGCAGGATGTCGTAAAGGAGAATATGAAATTGCAGGGAATAACCGAAGATTTGACCAAAGACTGCAAAATGTGGAGGGAGTTAACGTGAACAGCGAATCCCTGATAAAAGAAAACACATTTCAAAAAACAGAGAGCTCTCAGTATTTTTAACTATGATGTATGCCTTTCTAGTTAAAACCTTTGCCTCTTCTCAGCATAGCGAAAACCATAATATGTGTACCATTGAATGTGCGTTTACTTCCGTTTTTCAGTCGTCATTTGAGTAATGTTAAATAAATGTTATGTTGAATGAAGTTTTCACCCTCCACATCTACATATTATATAATGGAAACCCCACAACAGGCGACCTGTTCAAAAGCAGTGATGTTCACCGAATGAATTGTGCCTCTTGTCAAAAGATTTATTGATTTGACTGAAACCGTGTTAAGACTCGTCTGAAGGAACATAAGCCGGTATGTACAAGAAGAAAATTCAGTAGTCTAAAACATGCGGTTTATAACATGCG